CCCAGAAGCTCCCCTGGAACCTAACCTTCGGAGGAGTTCACGCTTACGAAATCCAATCGAGCCTAGGTCTGATCGGCAGCCGAGACCTTATGCTCTGCATGTAGGAAAAGGTAGCCCTATCCCTGGAAGCTTTCGGGATGCTTCAAATGGACCAGATAAAACTAAGTGGAAAGCCGCGATCGATGAAGAGCTTAAATCATTGAAAGAAAAAGAGGTATTTAAGCCCATAACTCACGTCCCTCGTGGGAAGAAGATCGTTGGCTCTAGATGGATCTTTACAGTTAAGTCTGATGGAAGATACAAAGCTCGCTTGGTTGCAAAGGGCTTTAGCCAGATCCATGGAATCAATTACTTCGACACATATTCCCCGACCTTGCGAATGGACTCTTTAAGGATACTTCTTGCCGTTAGCGCCTTCTACGATTGGGAAATTCATCAAATTGATGTTAGGACGGCCTATCTTGAAGGAGACTTAGAGGAGGATGTGTACATGAAATGTCCGGAGGGAATTCAAGGCACTAACTATGTCAAGGTCGATAAAGCCCTATACGGATTAAAACAGTCTGGACGGGCATGGTACAAGAAACTGGACGCAAAACTTTCTTCGATAAAGTTCAAGAGATCAGTAAGTGACCAATGTATTTACATACATCCGGAACTACAGATAGTAATTGGCGTGTACGTTGACGATCTTGTCGTGTGTGGTAAGGTTCTCAGTCAAGTTGTCAGGGCAAAACAACAGCTCTCGTCGTATTTCCCGATCAAAAACTTAGGGGAACTAGATGTTATCATCGGCTGGAAAATCACTCGAGAAAGATCAACAAGGACATTACAAATCTCCCAAGCTCATTACATAGCTGAAAAGATAGAATCCTTTGGTCTACAGCAGGCGAGGGAATACACTTCTCCTCTGGATGGCTACAATGGGATTCTACCAGGCCGTGAGGATGAGTCCCCTGCAGATGAATCAGCTTACGCCAGTGCGGTTGGAAGCTTAGGGTATGCGTCACACAGCACCAGACCAGACATATCTTTCGCAGTCTCACAATTAGGAAAATATAATTCCTGCCCTGTGATAAGACATTGGAACACTGTTTGTAGGGTGTTCAGATATCTCAAAGGTTCTTCCGACTTCTCTATAACCTATTGTTTTGGTCCTTCCTCACCCGAAAATCTTAAATCACACGAAGTACTCATATATTCTGATTCTGATTACGCTGGGGATGTTGTAACAAGTCGCTCAGTCAGTGGCTATGTCGTGATGCTTGGAGGTGGTCCTATATGCTGGCAGTCGAAGCAACAAAAGTCAGTTTCTACCTCAACAGCTGAAGCAGAATATATCGCCCTGTCAGAGGCAGCCAAACAAGCTGTGTGGGTGATTCGTCTTCTTAGGGAACTTCACGTTGGAAATGCACTTATGAGCGATGATGGTCTATTAACTCTAAGTGATAATCAGAGTGCGCTGTCAATTGCCGGAGGAACAAACTCTGCTAAGACCAAACACATCGACGTCGCATACCATTTTATTAGGGAATGTATTGAAGATAAAAAGATCAGAGTAAAGTATACTCCCACTAACATGATGTTGGCCGATTTATTGACCAAACCACTGCCTCAATCGAAGGCAAAGCCTTTGTGCTGTCAATTGTTCCAGCTTGTGTAGATTTATCCGGCAAACTAACTGCCCAGGAGGAGTGTTGGAATTTCGCACCAGTTGCTTACTCTAGAGCTACACAATTGTCGGTGATGATCGGCAAGGCTGCTTAGGAATAACTTGGCGCACAATTGCACTAGACTGAAATTGGTTTTAGCGTCAGACAAAGAACACGAGTAATATGTAGAAACCTAGATGCAGCATTCTTTAATATTCCGACCAAAAAAAAAAAATATAATAATAAGAACGATTTACGTGAATAATTTATTTGATTGAACTACTACGAAGTACTTTGAAGCTGTGCCTATATTCTTTGAGTGAGTTTCCTCTTAGAACCCATACACACTTTACAAGGGGGACTATTCTCAACACCTGTCAGTGGTGTCCCCTACGAACCTCCAGCTCTCACTGTAGAGTCTGCAGAGCCGAGATTGAGTAACAAAGTCCTCACTTCGAAGAGGATTCCCAATCGCTTTCGCGGTCTGTATCGTCTTCATCTCTCAACACATTCCCCTATCACCACTATCATGAAGCTAACCACGATCAGATCAGATGGTAGAGTCGGAGCTCTACTCGTCACCCACCCTTGATTATGGAGGAAAAGCCATCCGATGAGTTTCCGGAGCGTACCCAGCACCCGATACGGAGATGGTGGATTGGATCAAGTCGACCTCGACTGTTACAAAGAAGGGAGATATAGATGAATATGCGCACCTCATGTGGTCCTGGTGTCTAGGCCTCGCCTGGCTGGGGCTGCAGGTTTTTTGAGACTTTTTCCCGCGCACGCAGTTTCCATTGCTACCATTTTTATTTTTTTTGGGTAGAAGGTTCCGTGGAAAAGGTGGCTGAATTCCACGGGTAAACACTGAGCTGAATGGCTATTCATCAAGGGGAATATATCAATGATCTTTCAAGTAACAAAAGAGGATAGGAGCACTGTACAAGGTGTGGCCTGGGTCAGAGAGGAGCCCAATGTGCTAGATAGTCATAGACTCAAGTAGTACAATAAAACACACACACACACACTTTACAACAAGATATCATGGTTGGCATAATTCTACATCAATGGTTTTGGCCGAAGATCAGGGAATCAGTGCGGAAGTTTATCCGGAATTGCGATACCTGCAGACGGACCACGGTGTGGCGAGAGGCAAAAGTCGGGTTTCTTCGGTCTTTACCAATACCAGATCGCATAGGTAGTGAGCTGACAAATGATTTCGTCACTGACCTGCCACAATCACGCGGCTTTACAAATGTCATGGTCATCACAGATCGCTTGAGTAAAGACATTTTAATGTTCGGAACGGAATCAATGGACGCACAACTGTGTGCCTCAACATTTATTGAACAAATTATTGGTACAGTCAGACCCCTGTCAAGACGATCCTCGTTAAGACGATATTTTTTCCAGAACGGACTTCGTTCCCACACATTTACCGATCACACGATTATCATTCTTCAACCTCTGAAAATCGTCTTAACCAGGGTTTTTTTGCTAGATTGGTGCTTAAAATGCCACCAAAAAAGGGAATTTCCGTGGAGCAACGATATTCTCTGCATGACGATATTTTTCACGGCCCCGATTACATCGTCTTGACAGGGGTTTGACTGTACTGTGGGTTCCTATAAGGATTCTATAGAAATGCCTCAGGCAGGATTTATGGGTTCCTTGTTTAGCACCACTAGCCATTATATTTTTTTGCATAAGAATTTAATTGCGTATGCAGCTATCTAGCTATGACACAATATCAAAGAAAAGTACAGAATAGATGATTCAACGTAAGGGAAGAGCACTCATACCTCAGATTTCATTTGCAAGTACCACTGCGAAGTTATGGTGGCTTTTTCTTCACCCCAAGTCAACCCTCATCCGTGAATACCCATCCAGGGGAACGTCTCAAAAACCCTGAGTTATCCAGACATGCCTTCATCATCTATCAACTTTTCTCTGCGCGAAATGTAATCAGAGATGTCTCCTTCCCAAGTGGAGTAGGTGCCCAGGCTACTCAGACTATACCGGAAAACACCACCAGGAGGCGGACCACAACAGCTTCCATCATTGGCTTGTGTTTATCGTGTCAACTGCACTCTCGCAAGCGAAGTTTTGACGCGCACAAAGCCCAATTCGTAAAACTCCTTGCCAAAATTCGGAATTCCATGCCCTTCGAGGTTATATCCTTCCTTAGCATCATCTTGTCAACCTGTCCTGATCCCTCTCACGTCCATCCCAAAGAATTGTCTCCCAGATTTGTGCGCCACTCTTTGCTTCCTCCGTCGGGTATAAATATCAGCGTGGGCGTGTATTTAGCGGTCAACTGAGGCCAGAGAAGGTCGAAAAGAGGTGTGGTCATAGGGATGAGGATGTACTTGGTCGTACTTGTAGACTTGGTGAGACGAAGATAGGAGTCAAATTCCTTGGGAGCGAAAAGACGACGTGGAGGAGTAATTTGGATTTTTGCCTCGTGGGCCAACTTCTTTGATACTGCGAAATTTGACTGAACTTGGCTCTGGGAGAATATCTCACTCCCAGGTTCGGAGAGGACAACGCGTACAGGTGCTCAGTCTTGCCCTCCGACTGTTCGATAGTACCCAGGCCGTATGAGTGCTCTTCCCTTATCTTGAGTCATAATTAGATAGCTGCATACGCAGTTAAAATCTGATGCAAAAATCTTCACAGGATAAAAAGATATTAACATATTTATATGCACATGTTACCTTGACGCCAAATTACGATTAAAAAAATTTTATTATGCTACGGGACCAAGCAGTAGAGTCAACATCTGAATAGGATCCACAAGTCATGACAACATCTTCACACCATTCTTATAACATATAAAAAAGGGAAAATAATAAAAATGAAAAGGACCAAGAATTAGAGTCTAAATCACATAGGGCTGGGACTGTAGATACGAAAGGTAAATGAGTTGTTTGTGTGTCTGTAGGTCACGTTTTGACTTCTTTTACTGTTAAATTTTTGACTGTGCGATTTATATTCACTAATCACAGAAATAATTCGCAATAAGTCAAAGCCCTTTTGTTCTGATCTTTCTACCAGAATAAGCCGGCTAACAGTCGTAAGATGAATAAATGATCATAATAACTTGAACAAAATACTTTCCCATAAACAAGATCTGTGCATCCATTACTGCTCGCCTTGACAACCTTTCTGCATGTCACTCATTTAGCTTACGCTAGAAACCATTTGCCGACAGTAACGTCTGTATCCAGAATTCCTGTGGATAACCTTGAGCGAAGCTTCGTAGCCCCGAAACATCATTGTTTCCAACACTTAATCCTTGGTTAATTTGCTATTGGAGGGAGAGCCGTAGCGGCTTTCGTGGTTCAACTAGACGCTCATAGTAAAGTCATGCTCAATTCCAGGGGTTACACTAGCCATGAACTAATTCTGTTAACAATTTTCTTCGTTAGGGGGCCCAGGATTACCTTCAAGAATACTACTAAATATTGGTCCACTCGTATAGCAACTTCGTCATCGTGAGCTTCAGCATCATTTTGAAGAACTTCCCACTCGTCATTTCCATTGGCTCCTGCCTTTGCACCCTCAAATATAATCTTTTTTGTCTCTTCTTTCACACTCATTTGGTTCAAGTCATCGACGAGACCGCACATGCTAGTATTATCAGAGTAATTGGCTTTTCCTAGCCTTTGTCTTTCTCTTCTTATTTTTAGAGCAGCATCTGCGCGATCCAACAAGAGTTTCATGACTGATGCATGCTTGCATGGGTGTAAAGATGCCATTTTCATGTTTTCACTGAAGTAAGGGAAATCCTCTAGTGTCACGGTTTTATCTTTATATTCCCCAACAATATCTTCCATCATTAGCCGCGGGGCTAGCGGTTGTGAATTGGCAAGATATCCTTGGAGGAAGAGACGTGGAGTTCGGTAATAGGGAGCGTAAGCAATGTATAGCGTGTACGTACGTCTAGATCTGCGCAAAGTTATACATCTGCAAGAAGACGTTATGAAAAGCTTACGATTCAGAAGTTCCAGGCCCAGGATCCCTAATTATAGCATCTTCATCATCTTCTTCGTCCTCCATATCAGGGATATCGTCTTCCTCCTCAACTTCTCTCTCTCCCATATTACCACTTTCATCCACGGTCCTCACATCTCGTACCCTAGCCTCCTGGCTAGCTGCTAGTCCTCCAGTCCTAAGCCATCCATCATCCTCATCACCCGCACTACCGCACCCTAAGCCCCCATCTCCCACAACGGTCTCGTCGTGACCTGCATCACCAGCGAAGTTTTCATCAATTCTGCGATGACATGGAACACCTCGAGTCACTAGAAATTGTTTTCCTGCAGGGAGATAGCTGGCACGCTTAGTGATTGGTGAGGCATCTGCCCAAGACCATGTTGGAAACTTGTAAACTAAGTAGTCCCCGGCAGCGACGAATTCACCGGGTGTAATCTGACCGTTTGTGCGAAATGTGGAAGTATGTGAGACTGGTGCCCATTCCCGGACTTTATCGAGCGTACTGTGAATGAAATTCATCTACTGATGCATGTAATTTGTCGTCAGGGAGGTGGGGTAGAATGTGAAATATAGACCTTCTTGAATGACTAATAGTACCAAAACACTTTGAATAGTAGAAGGTTATTTTTGGCTAATTAACTATTCATAGAGATTTGAAAGTTGCAAGGAATGGCAAGTGCAGTGTGAGGGTATTGACGGCATAAGTGTTGAAATGGTTGCTATGAATCAATAGAAATCGTTAGTCTGGGTTATGGAAGTTTATCACGTGATCCAAAAATGAGACCCAACCATGATGCAAACATAAAGATGCCTCTTTTTGGGATGGACGGGTTCGAAAGTCTACAAGCGTTGCTCTCTACGGACTCAGATACGTGATATGATTGCAGAGCCAGGGTTTCGCATGTTTCATATGAGTGGATTGAAGTAGATATATTGTTTAAGCTAGACAATGACACAGTCTGTAGAAATTTAGGCTACTTAAAAGTCATGAGAAAAAATTAGAAGACCAACAACTTAGGTCTATTGAAGCAAAGGCGAGGTCAAAAATTCCTATGATGCTCTGAACGTAAATCCTTGAGAAGGCTTCGTGTGAACAACGTGCATTGTCAAGATGAGAGGTCAAGTACTGTTGTGATTTGAAGTGCCAAAGTAGTTGGGGTTTTGACATCGCGTGTGGCTTTAGACCACAACATAAATCACTAGTGTACAGGTTAGGCGAGCATGTATATAGTTTCATGGATGTAAACACAGTAAAATGACACAATAAAATGACACAGGTATATTCTTAAACATCTGTTCTTATACCTACAGCATAGCATTGTTTGAGTCTATTCACTGTCACCCACAAAATACAACATCATCCCCTCCTCATCACTCCGCAGTGTGAATTCTGCGTAGCTCACAACGACAACAGGAGGACTTTTCTCTTTCTTTTACATCGAGGACTTCTATTATCGATGAGTCTACGGCACTCCCAAATTCACCAGACGGCACAATGAAGTTAGGCTAAGCTAACTTTACAGCAATCATTCTCTGTCAAGACTTGTTGGACTCTACGAGTCAATTGAATAATGTTATATATAAAAATTGTCAATTAATTCCTGGCTGCCATTTCTCTTTCTTTTACTATCTAGATTATGTATGTCCAGAAAATGGCAATGCTCTATCTGTCCCCGACTTATCCTCAAGAACCAAGTTTCTCATGGTTTAGCACGAAACATCTCTATTCAGAATAGATTGAGTTCTTATTGCTGTAACCCAAGCAAAACACCTTTATCCGAAATGAGTAACTCCAAGCTTTGTAAACCTAACATCTAAAATTCTATATCTGACATTGATCGCTTTCAAACTATCCATAGTTTGATAAGACTTTTCTGTACGGGCTGTGCCTATCTCCAAGTGACTGTCGCACGGACAGTTATCATTATTACGTCATTAGACTTGCTATCTAAAGAGATGTCCAAGTTGAACATATAAATGCAGGGTTGCAACAATTAAGGAAACAGGATGTTGTTGCTGAAATTGGCACTACTTAGCAATGAAGTGTCGCATTGATACGGAACTTAATAAGGTTCTATTATTACTAGCCACATTCATGACGACTCGTACATTGACCAGCCTCCCAATTATTTAGCATAAACAAGTGAATCGTGTCCTTCTCTTAGATGTAGTAATTAGTTTAAATAGCGCTCTGATACTAAGTGGGTTTAATCAACAACTCTCCACTATAGTTTTCAGACTCTTCAATCTCCCAACTCGCTTCCCTAAATGATATTAAATAAATGCCTAACAGCTTACGATTCTCTATACAAATTCCATTCTAACAATTGTTGCAGCAAGTCTCATATGGAATCATGGGCCGATACGACCCAGATTCGCTATGATAAGCCTACTCGGAATATCAAATATATGATGTAGTAGAATAGATAGTGAGGTTAGCGGATTGGGAGTTGGGACACCTTAAGTAGCCTCCCCTCGATGGATAGTTCCGAGATGTATGTAGAAAATAGACAGTAATTAGCCACCATTCCTTTGCTGTATCGTTTTGTTGATCGCCCATCACATTTTCTGACATTTCAGCACGACCTCCGAGAAGGTGTTGGAAGGAGACTAGAAAGGCAGAGTGTGAATTTCCCGGGGTACGAACAAGTCTGCAGCGCCAAGCTGGCTGGCCTCTTCGAACGCTTCAGAAGAGTCACTGTGTCTTCAGATTTATTTCTGATGTCGGTATTAGGAGAGCCCCGCACTCAGTGACTTTTGCGATTTTCCAGCAGCTCCAAACCCACTAATTGCCATAATTTCGTTGGCTGTAGAGAAGAGAAAACGACGGGGTAATGGCTCCTTTAAGTGGGTACAGCTGTATGAGGCTACAACAACATGATGAAGCAGAGGAATGAAGTCCGAATGCTGTCTGTTTCTTACACATGAGAGAAAATAACTAATCCTAGGGGAGGACGAAGGCTGAACACCTGTTAGTGGTGTCCTCTACAAAACTGGGGGTGAAATATTCTTCCAGAGCTGGGATTCAGTCACGGAAAAGGGTGGGATCAATTTTTTTGATGGATTTTCGACTTGAAGGAGTTGCACTTAATATTTTGGTCGAAAAATCAGTCAACAGTGTTGTGGTCATGAGCTATGCGGAAGCCATATTGCGGAGTGATGAAGAGTGGATGATGTTATAATTAGTTGTTAACAGTGAATAGACTCATACAATATCATACTGTAGGTGTATGGACAGAAAGTACAAGACTAAACCTGTATCCATTTATTGTGGGTACATCTATGAAACTAAATACATGCTCGCCTAACCAGTACCCTAGTGATGTATGCTGTGGCCTTGAGCCACACGCAATGTCCTAAGCTCGACTACTTTGTTGCCTCATATCATAACACTCCCCCTGTCGGTAACAGCCATGATACCCGGATATGGATGTTAGTGTTAAATTATAAGAAGGGTTGGACAAATTTAATCATCTCTACAATTTAACATAATGGAGTTAGTGTTGTGGTTATTGGTTGCCTGTGACGGCTGGTTCCTGTAGCCTATGTTGGCTAACATAGGCTTGGTCCGATTTAGGGTGCGCACGATCGATCGATCTAATATCGGAGCATCGGAATCTGCATAGCATCCGATTCAACAGTGCAGCTCAACATGGCACCACTTGTCGGTGAGAAGCAATCGGCTGGGAATATACGAGATCGGACACAACCTCCTCAACTGATAGGGCAATGACGTCGTAGAACATGAGGCTCTTTTGTATATATACATGTGTAGATAGATCTTGCAGGAGCTCTCTCCTTAGAATTATTATCTACTACCATCAACCACATAGTTGCTCCAGCACCTGTCCTAGAATCCGTGACATTGCCTAGGAGTTAAATAGGGTAAGGCATCTTTTGATTTTATATACCCTGTATTAGTAGTTTCATAATAGCGTGTGGATGGACTAGGAGCAATACATTAGTGGGTGAGAGGTCGCGGTACTTCTATTAAGTGCAAAGACGTAAAGACGAAGATACACGCAACGATTCAACCCCATACTTTATCAAATCTACTTCCAAGTATTCCTGTAACAGTACTACTGTATTACCCGTCCAGAGGAATGATATTCTAATAGGTTACGACCCCGGTTTGCTATAGAATTTGATAAAGCAAGGTTACGTACAAACTCGCACCTACTCGCATCTACTTGCACATACTCGAAAAGTCATAAACACTGAAACCAACAGAACTAAAATGGCTGATAATTGCTCAGAAAAGGGAACCGGTCTATGGAAACTTGTCCCTGTACTGACGAAATCTAATAAAACAGAATGGTTCCAATTAGTCGAACAAGTCCTTGAAGGTGATGGTACACAATGGTGTCGAGAGTGCAAGAGGAGTTTGCATTCCGAAGGTCCAATAGTTCTATAGTTCAAGAGTTCGACTGTTCAATAGTTCGACAGTTCAAGAGTTCAACATAAGATTCAATAATATCTAAAGAGTTCCTAAGAATACAAGACCTTAATCTGCCGAACTAATGTCATCCCAATTACCCATTATATATTCCTCTCTATTGTTCTCGAACTTTCCAGTATACTCTCATACAGAATAGAATAGTCTAGGCAAGTACAGATCAGAACAGAACAGAACAGATTAGGATAGAATATAGCAGAATACCACAGATTTCTTCATACAGAGTTCCTATTGACTCAGAATAGGCTCTTGGTCTGTGAAAAATGGCTACTAACTCAAACCAACAGAGAATACGCACATGTCAGAGACTCGATAAGAGAGACCGAACCCGAAGCAAATTGGACATCATACATTACTGATGAAGATAAATCTCAAAAATGGTGGATCCTCCCTGACAAAGATATCGAGTATAAAGGGGCCCAAATTGTTACGGTTTGACCGTTGTTTGAGCTTAGGTGGATACCTAAGCCTGTTACTAAGAATTCTTACTATGAGGCTGTATGAGGGGGAGATGAAGCTGAACGAAACGGGACTACTACTCAGGAGGCTGAAGCGTTATTACAACTTAGTGACACCTGGAAATACGTGGCTGGGTAAGAAGTATTGTGCCTAAGGACAAGTCACTAGTCTGTAGATTCACGAGGAGGATTAACTCCTATAAATACCTGTTAGTAGTAGCTAGAGTTAGCTTTTCTCCTCATATAGTTTATTAAATCGATTTATTCATCACCAACTCGGTTTCCGTCACACAAATAAACTTTCGCCTCAATATCCGATTGAAGATAACCGAAACTGATAAGGACATGATGGATGAGAAAATTGGGATTCCAGCCCAATACACTTCTCTAAAAAATAGATACAAACAGATTACATACACTTCTGGGCATAGCACTATTGTAGCTTTCACCACTTGGGAAATGAATGTTCAACTCAATTCCATAATAAACTATACACAATTAAGCAAGAGTAGAAAGGAAGTTCATCAGTTCTCTCCTGGCACTAAATTCTCGTTAGATTTCATGTGGAAGTTATTTGTTACAGGACTTCGTCCAAGGAACATATA